CAATGCAACTTACTCAGTTGCTCATTCGCAAGATTGAATTTTGTTATAACCCATTAGGACCTAAAAGTATCCGACTGTGATGTGGTGGGGCGAATATTCCGTTAACTGGCGTGCGTAAGTTTTCATGTATGATCGAGTATACTGGGTTAAAAACATGTTAAGGGAACTCATTTGACCTATAACCCTAAACCGTAAACCATACCAATATACTAACATTATTGAAGCTATGTGGTTGAGGCGAAAAGAATTTTTGAGACCTTATCATGGTTTCAGAGGTCGACTATTATTGAGCCATACGGATGTGTTCCTGTACCGTATGCACTATGATTTTAGAACTTCTGAAACTATATCTGACCTTGAGAAGTTTTTGACTCATGTAAAAGAAGTGTTTCCACTTTAATTCTTTGGTTTTGTACAATAAATTTTTACTGTACACTAATTGGCTAATATTTCTCAAGGCCATTTAGGATTCGTTCAAAGGTCGGCAGTATAGTTTAGTCCTACTGTTGTTCCATAGAAGCAAACAGACAGTCAAAAAATGTTTTGATTGTTTTCCAAAGCAGCATCTACTCACTTGACGAGTCCTATTTAATATATAGGTCACATCTCACAATCCTGGTCTGTTGGTTTTGACCTCCCAATCAGGTTGTCGTTGAGTAGTGAGTAACTGAAGATGGTGGCGTGAGTGATGAGATCGATGCACGTATAATGAAAGCCAGAATGACTTATGCCAATCTGGGCCATCTTTGGCGCCTTCGTGATGTTAGTCTGGCTGTAAAAGGTCGGATCTACAACATATCGGTGAGAGCATTCTTGCTCTATGCTTGTGAAACCTGGCCTCCCCGAGTTGAGGATGTTATACGACTCTCTGTGTGCGATCATCGTTGTCTCCGAAGGATTGCTGACATCCAGTGGCAACACCATGTTAGTAATGCAGAGCTTCGGCATCGTTTACTCGGGCGCAGAGACGATAATCCAATTAGTGTCACCATCTTGAAACACCAACTTCGGTGGCTTGGACATGATCCACGAATGTCGTCCCAGAGAATTCCTCGTCGTGCATTATTCCTCGACGCCGGGACTGGTTGGAAAAGGCGGAGAGGTGGTCATTGTAAGACATGGTGTCGCAGTATGAAAGAAAGCTGCAAAGGGCTAGCTTCTGTTGATCCTTCACGACTCCCTGGCTGGGGTCCGTCAGTCAGTGGTTATAAGTGCTGTCAGAGGTATGAGGGCAGTTATCACCTCCCAGTCGCCCACACCGTGGAAGGCTTCTTCTATAGGTACCTGAAAAAGAAATTGGGTTAGAAGTAGTCTTAATGACCGGAGAGCGTGACCACAATGCCCAAGGGACAACTGCTTGAAATCGGTCACACGTGACCTTTTTGTGTTAGCTCCATACTTTTTGGAAAAGCAGCATCGCTGTTATGGTGGTTGTCTGAAGGAAACACCTTACTGCTGTCACACCTCTGTACAGTCAGCAGTACGACTTTGCCTTCGGACCTTGGGTTTGCTGCTTTTAGTCTTACCGCTCTTTAACCGACCTGCCTGGCATGGTAGGACCTTGAGGAACGATTGTTCCAGCCAGTATAGCTCGATTGGCCCATCACAATAGGCAAGCCCGACCACCACGTCATGGTAGCAACAACGGTCGGCTGGGGTCCGAGATATGGTGCAACACAGTGGCTAGAGACGCTATCAGATATGGTTCAGAATAGAAGCGAGTGGCGATCCTGCTATAACCTTTTACCTTCATGAAGAGTGGTTATAACTTTCTTAACTGAAAGAGTCTTGTGGTTGTACATTTCAGTTCTTTCATATATACGCATCTTCCCCCTTTCTCTTCCTATTCTCATTGTTTTGTGTGACGCATAATTATCTGGTGCCCTTTTGTACCAATATGTATGTTTAAATAAATAAACTGAAGACCAGTTGCATTGTCCTTCATACCGTCCTGCCCATCGTTTTAGTCTCCTGATAGGAGAGTAGATCCTGACATTCCCAGGAATAGTTGGCTAACATGTTTTAGCGCATTAAAACCAGCTACGTGCAAGTTACTAGTTTTCTTAAATAGATCAGGACGCTTCTGATAGAAATCACTTTCTACTCCGTCCATTTCGCAATCATTGGGTGTATAGTCATAAACGACGAAAAGAAAACGTGTATCTTTAGCTTTCTGAGTTTATTACCGTGCCATTTAGTTTGACAGCTTATCAACAGTTATGGGTATTCGCAGACGGGTTGCCTGTTCTGTTCTCAAAATTAGTGGTACTATAATGCTGGGGGTCTATGAAAAACTAGTCGGGTCCGAAAACAGTAATTCACGTTAGCTCTACATTCTGATTAGATGAAGTCAATTTGATTACCAGCGTAGAATCCTGTATGCGTTTTTTTGTAGGCAATAAACATCGTAACTCATGCCTCCTGGGTGATATTTAATGAAACCTGTTGCTTAATTCGACTTATCCGGATATTGAAAGCTCCAATATGTTGGTGGAAGCTCATTTCCAGATGAGTTGGAATAGCACGTATGGAAGAGGTTGAAGACAGGCGAGTAAGATTAGTGATGGAGATCGAAGAAATGTTAGAAAGTAAACAGGAATTTTTCTAAGAACTAGATTAACATGAGTGCTATTAGAAGTATGTGGGGAGTTCTCGTCTACCGGTTACCCACGATATGATAAAAATCGCCATCTCGGGAGATCTAGTTAGGAAACTTGGCTGGGGCTTGTCTTGACGACCTAACAGCATAACCACTGCTCTTATGAATAGTTTTGAGCATTTTAGCTGCGTGATTTTCCAACCTTAATGCTGGCAATGTAAATCGACTGGGGTAATTAAGGTGTGCTAATTTGTATCAATTCTATCCAACCTTTCCTCCATGAGGAGGCATCAGGAATGCTGAATTTCTAATGAAAATACCTTGTTGTATCCACTCTTTGTGTTCTCCCAAATTCTAATCTTCTGAATTATTTGTGTCCTTTTCCTTTTTCTCTTTCCAAATTTATTTCACTGTATTATACTCCTTCAATAACATCTTCAAACCCTTATCTTTCACATACTTACATAATACTTATACTCTTACTACTTCTACCAATATGGGATTTGAATCGACAGCTTCATCTCTGTGCTAATGTGGTATGGCAACTCGAACTGATGTACGCACGGGCGAAGTTCTATGTTGTATCTGACTGACTAACTGTTGTATTCACTCCACAGTATCACTCCAGTACCACGTCACCATCAGATTTCAATTTTAGTGCTTCTAGGCCTACAACTCTTCAGCTGACCTGTCTAATATTACAGGATTCTAAAGAATAAATATTTGGTCATCTAGATATCCAGGCCCAACTATCCTGTCAAGGTGCTAATTTGTTTCCATAAAATAATTTCATGTACCAATGTTCATGTGTTTGAATAAATATCCCGTAAAACACCAAGTTTGGTTTTGGAGAACCATTCAATAATCGATTTTGCCAAACAAAATGCTTAATAACATGAGAAAATAGCTAAAAACTAACGGACAGTCTTCTCATTTGTACCTCAGTCAGTCAGTCAGTCAGCTACAACGTAGGACCAGGCACATATATGCATCGGTCCAAGTTGCCATACCTCTTTAGCACATCAAGATGAACACCGGATTCATAGAAGCAATTAATTTAGTGGTGGTAGTATATAAAGAAAGATTGTATAGAAGGATATAGTATAGGAAGAAAAAAAAGTTATGAAGCAATTTTAATCTCAAGGTTTAAGGGAAGATAAAGAGTGTATACACCTACGCCATTGTGATCGATTCTGAGCCATGTCACCTAGAGTCTTCAACCATTTATTACGATAGTCACGCGGACCCCAACCAGGTAGTCTGCATCTGCCAACATGGCTCAGGCTAGAAGTTAGTGACTTCAAACACTGATGCCATGTTTTGGTTTGGCCGCCCCTAACTCTCTTCCAACCGTCCCCAATACTAGTCATCATAGCGCGTCGTGGTAATCGGTGTTCAGGCATACGTAACACATGGCCCAACCATCTCAGTCGATGAAGATTCATGACCTCATCAACTGATTTACCATCGTTACCTAATACCCTGCGTCTAACCTCACTATTACTTACTCGGTGATCCCAGCAGATGCGAGCAATATTTCTAAGGCATCTGTGGTCAAATACTAGTAACCTACGAGTATCTTCTACTCTTAATGGCCATGTTTCGCAGCCGTAAAGTAGAACAGAACGAACTGCTGCGCAGTATACTCGTCCCTTAATTGATAGACGGATATCTCGTCTTCGCCATAGGTGACGTAAGTTGGCAAAAGCCAAACGAGCTTTTTGAATCCGTGCTGAGATTTCGTCAGACACCAACCTCACTAGTTGTTCACACGCTACCTTGTCAGCGATCAAACCCCATGTCTACTCTTCATAATTGCGTGACATGACATTGATACCGATTGCTACATCCGTATCTCAGATGCAAATTATCATAACATAAGAGAATGTCTATTAAGATTTCATGAACATTTCGATGAATCATACACATGATAGTTAGTAGCCGCATGCTACTACCACTCACTTGTTCCAGACTAGCCGTGAATTTATGCAAAATTATTCTATGTATCAGACATTTTTTTTGAATCGACTATAAGTGATACTCTGAAGGAAGCATATGACAATGGTGTAAACCTATCACTCAGAAAATGATCAACCTTGCAATAAAATTCTCATGCGGCCGCATGAATTCAGTTGTACTTCATCATTTGGTGATCGTTGTTTGCATGATTATTGTCCAGATCATTTTCTCAAGATCAGTAAAACATTATGTCTCTGTTAATGTAAAAGAATTTTTTAGTAGTTGTATCATCGCTAGCTAGGGTATTATGCTTTACTTCACGATTAGGTTTTCCATTTTATTCATTTATACTTTTAACCATATTAGTAATTTACTTTAAACGACTTTTGTCTGCGCTTTTGTGTTCCAGTTTTAATAAGCTACGAGAAAATACTAGAGACTAATGGAAGCTGTTGCTAACTATCCATTTACTCCTACTGAACCTGACGAACTTGGGTTTGAAAAAGGTAGTACTTTATATATTGTTGGTATGGAAGAGGATCCGAATTGGTATAAAGCCCGGCTAGGGAACCAAGAAGGCATGGTACCTGCAAACTATATTTCTTTGTATCCTCATCCATGGTACATACCCAGGTGTAGTCGGCGAGAGGCAGAGGCCAGACTTTTAGAAACTGATCCGGATACGAACCGGGACGTACAACCTGATGGAGCATTTATTTTACGGCAAAGCGAAAATGATCCTGGTCAGTTCAGTATCTCGGTCAAGTAAGTTAACGATATATATATATATATATATATATATATATATATATATATAACCGATTGTTTTGGTGACTTCTAGCAAGTCATCAGAAAATCGTTCTCAAACTATGGGACGGTCAATTTCATAGATGCTTTGCGAAACGTTTGTTCAAAATAACTCTTTAGTTTCAAAGCTAAAATGTATCACACCAGCCGAATTGTACGAAGGTTTTTCTCCCTTCTGTCAACATTTCATGTTCAACAGGCAAAGCAGTAGCACAGCGCACAGATTCTAAAGAAAAATTCAGAATCTAGGTTTTCTAATAATCACGTTTTGTGAAACTGACTAAAGAACAGTGTATAAAATTTAAGGCAAGTAAGATATATAAACTACTAAATTTATGACCATGGAAATTTTTAAAAAATAATCGCTGTGTACTATTACTCGTATCGACGTTTCATAATGATTAGACTAATGGTAAGTCCGAATAAACTTACGCAAACGAGGTCGTGTCAAAATTGTCTTAATTGTGGAGAAAAATGTATTCTTCCTGGATATATATATATATATATATAACAAGCAACATTGCTGAAAATATATCTCTAGGGTTTGTTTGCTCGTTTCTCTGCGATCTAAAAGTTATTATATTTAGATCTTACGCTTGTTCATCCTGTCCTTCCTTTTTTGGTCGGCGAATACTCAGTGATTAAGGCTTTCGACTTTCAGTAATTAAGTCTGATTCGAACCCCTGGAAACGGGGTAGTATCACTAACCCTCACACTTTATATGTGACTCAAACCAAAGTACGTAAGTGTGTATCTAGCCAATTAGTTAATAAAAAGCGTCCGTTCTGTTATTTTCGTCTTGTGGTTTAGAGTATAACAGTCTAAACTGTCTGACTACTATATAGAACTGCATTCCGTTTACTGGTAGTTTGTCAAATCGAAATTTCCAAAACAGGTTAGAAGGAATCGCGAACTAGATTTTTACATAACTACTACCATTATTAGAGATTATGTATCATGGCTCTTCGAGACAGCGGAAATCTTAATATGTCATATCATTTGCTAAAAATATTGATGTTAAGGATCCAACATTCCCAACAATTAATCTTCATAGTTACTATTGTATCTGTGTACCTAATACGTCATTTAGGCATCCAACGGTACGTTGCATCGTATTTCTTCAAAATAGTTAATATATTTCATTTTTATGCATCCTACAGAGAAGGTTCGTCGGTTTTGCACTTCCGTATATTTTTCGATCCAAAGGGTAAGTATTACATCTGGACGAATAAATTCGACTCAATCAATGCCCTGATCGATTATCATCGTCATCAAACAATATACGGGGTAAAAGCACTCCTACTACGTGATTGTGTTTCAAGTAAAGTGAGTTATGTCGGGCATAATTTTCTATTAATTGGAGCCTGTTCTTGTATATTCGCTATTATATTCATGTGTCCTTACATGCAAATCCATCTTTATTCATTTTACAGCACTTTTGGTTCTCTTCATCTACCCTACTCCTCCTAAAAATTAGCAATAAATTAACAAACAAATAAACCAGTGCATATTTATTTGTGCACACATTTGTTTGTTTTATAACAACATGTAGGTTTTAAAGGTCGATTTACATCCACTCAATTATTATAATGATATTTGTAAACAGGTATTCATTGAAAAGCAGTGTTAATATGTTTAATCCATTTAAAAAGGTTCACCTTACGTTTACCAGAAATGTATCAAAAACCTAATGCGTTAGCGCTATTTGGTTCTCTTCAAAACTATATCTGATACCGAATCAAGCCACTGACTTTCTGATTATTTAGAACACTATTCAAAGAACCGTGATAAACTGGGAAATATCACTCGTACATAGATTGCTTTCATATAACGGTACTATGTCATATACTTGCTGCTATCCAATGAATTCCAGGGTTTATACATTGCTCTTAGTATTTAGGCTTCTAGGATGGCGTTTGTAAAACATTTTCAGTTCATCAAGTGTTTCGAAAAGGTTATGCCATTCATCATCACTATCTTTAAACAAATTGTTAAGGATTTACTAATTACTCGTCACTGGAATCAACCAATCCGGTCACACAGCTACCGAAACATATGAACATTTCTACAGTTTACAGTCTCATTGGAAAAGATGAATGAAAACTTCGGTTCCCACTAATCTCAGATAAGTAAATTGCATTTTGAAGGTTCAAATTACGTAACCCACCTAAGCTGAATGCCAACTGATTTAGTGCAATTTGATTTGTTTGTGTATCATTGTTCAGTAAGACAGTACCATCCGAATACAGACAAGACAACTAAAAATAGTAATCTGTGGCGTATGCAACTTACATTGACAGATATCAGGAGTATATAACACCAATCAGAAGTGGAATGCCTGTCAAAAAAAAAGAATTGAGATTAAACTGAAAATAAATGGAAATAGAAAGGAATTGGGATAAAAGCAGAATTGGGAGAATCGTGAAGAGTATAAATGACAACTGATGGAAGATGTATGGTTTTCATATTTGATGAAAATACACTGTACTTTTGTATGTAATAACAAGTTGGTCTTCCCCATCTGAGTGTTCATCCACTGCATTTTGTGTCGCTGTCAAAGGACAGGCGGAGAGGAGGAAAATTTAAGGGCGCCGGGAGAAAAGGCGCTACCTGGGGTGGTCTGGCGCAGAAAGGTGATGTTGAGTGGAGTGTTCTGGCAGGGCGATGTTGACTGTAGCAGTCGCTGTCGACGGATTGGAAGAGTTGGACGTCCGGACGCCGGACTTAGATAACTCGGCGAATGACTGAGGAGAGTGTGTTGAACGTCCCAGGTTCTCGGTCGGCTGGCCGACATTTCTATGGAGGTCATTGCACCGGCGTACTCGACATTTTAACGGAAAGCGTGGCACAGGTTTCAGCAAAAAAAAGGTGGCGCGCAGAACAACCGCATGAGCGACCGTCTAAAGACTAGACGAGTGTGGCGTATGCTATTTATGTTGATAAATACAAGTAGCATGTAACACCAGTCAGAAGTGGAATGCCTGGCAGGAGATGGTTGACAAGAGAGTGGGAATGTAAACAGAGAGTAATTGTAATACCGATGAGAATGAAGGAACGATGATGTTTGTAAGAAACAGTTGATGGAAGATGTAAAAATGAAGTATTTAATATATGGTTTCCATATTTTAAGAAGACACTGTAGTTTTGCAATAAATAATAAATTGGTCTTTCCCACCTGAGCGTTTGTTCACTTTAGACCTACAGTTATATGCATCATTCAGAGTTGCCTTCAGTATATGATCGGCGAAATAGCACAGTCCTACCTAACCTCACTGTTGAACTAGAACTATGGGGATTACTGATTGTATCCCTGCACTTCGGGCTTCTGTTAATCTGTAGTCTGTCATTTTCTTCACTACTATGTTAGCTGAAGCATTTCGCTATAAAAGCAACTAGTGATTACATATGAATAGAACGTGAAGTAGTTAGAGTAAATATCACTCAGTGTTCATGAAGAACTATACCATCAGTCAAATAAGTAACCATATCCATACTAACTTTTTGTTTGTTAAGACGTATATGCATTTCGGTTGCTACTTGTAACTATCCTTCCAAAAAATCTTTTTATCACTTGAAACTAAGTAACTGAACAATTTTTCTGATTCACTTTCTGATCTTATTTTTTATTTGTTTTAAGAATTATCAGTAGTCGCATCAACTGTCGAAAGTTTCTGCTCTATAATTTATTTCAAAACTAAATTTGCACCAGAAGTATCTTTCAGGAATGATGCAGTGGTTGAACATATTTCCGCTAAAACATAACCGGCAATACTTCCTTTACGAGAAAAAGAGATCGTCAATATATCAGCAATGTAATGGGAGATTTTATAAAAAACCGTCATCTGTTAATTATTATTAAGATCAACATTAAGTATATGTGCTTTCTAAGACTACTTATTACGTAGTGCAGTTTAACAAATTCCAAGTGTTTGTGTAGTCACAACAAGGTAATGTAACTCATTTATAATGTTCAGGTTTATGTACTCAGCTTTGAGCCACATGTTTCTAATGTATGGGATAATTGTGCTATCCGGCTTCTAAAACGAAGTACTTTAAGTGGGGTGTTGTAAATAATATATACCCCGATGATTAGGGGCAGTCGGTAGGAAATCTCAGAATTGGGTTTCGTACCAATTGACAGTTGTTAAAATGAGTTATATACAGTCTTTGAAGAGGTGATCCTCTTTGTGCAGTTCGAACTCGTGTCACCAATTGCTACAGTTGAAAATACCTTAAATTGATGTGTAGTCCTCCGAGTGTCAAACTTAATAGAATTATAAACCAAAGACGTTTTTCTACATTCCATCCTACACTGCTCCAGCTGTATGGTCGTAACAGTCACAATAAAAATTTCAGGGGAGCTTTTTTTACGAAGTGAGGTAGTTATATGCTTTGAATAAATGGAACTCAAACACTTTGTTGGCGCTATAATCCAATGGTCACAACATCCGATGATGAAGCATTGCTACAACTGTTTTAATTAGACAAAATGGCATATGACATGGGATACGGAGTTATACTTCGTCACCAAGCCGCATGTCTTAACAGATGCTAGTAACACATCAAATCATTTTAATAATATTAAGATGGGAAATAATCTACAAAGTTAAGTGGAGAAAAATAAAAATAAAGCTTTTCAGAAGGTTAAACCTCAGCCATGCGTTTGACTTTATTCAGATAACTACTTAAGTCCTAAGAGCACTGGAAAACTGTCTCACCACATTATGTCACTCGTTAACAGCGCTTATGGAGACCTTATTAAAAATAGAATATATTACCTTCAGACTTCTTAGCCACCACTTAACCTTCAGATCATAGGGTTGGATATTGAGTGTTTGCAGGTGTGACTTCAGTGAATTCGCAATGCTGCGCGACCGACATCCATTGCCACCACGAATCAATCATAGTGCCCTCAATTGATTTGGATCTAAAACTACTTTATTCTAATGAATTTCTTATTTTTGTCACTTACAAGTGTACGAAGAGAAGTGTATATATAAAACGATATCTGTTAATTTTCGATTGAATGCCTTTAAAGTTAAGATGCATTTCTATCAATATTTAAACAATGAACCTTCAGATTTGGACTATTATATGCAATCCTGTTTGTCAAGTATAGTCATGATTCTAGCTCTTTAAATTTATTCCATTCAGGTAGTAATTTGTCATCAATATGAGACAATTATTGCTGCAGAAGCCTTTAGTATTTATATAAAGTCTATTGGTATTAACTGAAATTCACCGATGTCAATTGTTAATCCAAGTGTTTTTCGTTCCGTTGTTTTGAGACTTTTCGTTTTTGATTTAAATCGTAGAAACATATGTATGAGACTTCTGAGAGTTGACTTAGAACATACCAACTGATTATATGCTCACCATTTCCTACGTAACCGTATCATTAAATTCTTGTCTATGATATTTCCTAAGTATAGTACTTGAGTGGGTACCTAATGAATAAGTTTAAAACACGAATATAAACCAGTCCCAATGATTATAAATGATATTAACAACTGTGTTGGCTAAATTACTTCTATATTTAGTCTGAAAACTTTAAAACCAGTCGTACTTTCGTTATTTTTACTTCTGTATCGCTTCTTAGAAGTTTTCTGTGCAAAAAGAAAACTCCATAAAATTTATTATTTATTAGTGGTCTGTTTGTAATTTTCAGACTTTTGGTTCAGTTGGTTCCGGTCCTAATGTGGTTTTTAATAGCCCTAGCATTCACACAAATACTACTAACAAGGGTTCCCATCCACAGACTACCGTTGGTTCACATTTACATAATAAAGAACACCCTGCTCAAATGAATCTGGATTTACCTCCTGGAGTAGTATTTACAAATTTGTCTGGACGACAGTGTGTAGCCAAATTTGACTTCAATGCTGAGTTTCAAGAGGAAATGTCATTTCGTCAGGGAGATCGTCTTCGATTGCTTGGTGAAGAAGATGAAAATTGGTGGTTTGCTGAATTAATAACTCATGCTTCTAGTGGTCAACCAACTCCTCAAGGCTTGATTCCTGCTAATTATGTCAAACTCTTATCAAATAATACGTCTAGTTCCACAGTTTCTAACATGCGTAGTAATCCTTCTAAAGTTCCACAACCCTCTGCTCAGATCGCTCGTGCTACTTAACTTCTTTTGTATAAGTATAGCTGCAACACCAATATATGTACACTACATTGATATATTTGATGAATCAATCTAACCATCTGGTTTCCACAGCTTGTGTGTTTATTTTTATTGTTGTTTTTATCTGCTCTTGTGGATGAACTTTCATGTGATAACTTTATGGTAAGTAACAGAAACTCATGCTCATCTCAGTGACTTATTCGAAGCTCAATCTGGATCTCATGTGGATTTTCTATTTACCGAAAGCACATACGATGAATTTTCTGTCAGCAAATTTCATTTCAAATCTCAGAATTATTTGAACGTCTTTTTAAATGAAATAAATTGTACTACTGAGACTTATTGGTCATCTTATTACCCTTAAGTTCCATGATTTGTATTTTTTTCCAGAATCAAAGCCTTGCTTTGGTTTTGTTTTTCACTTGTAATTTTAAATGAAATATTAGTTTTTCTGATCTACGTTTGCGAATACTTATGTATATGGGCTAAAATGTTTCTGATGCATATACTTCGTTTTAGGTTATGTCATTGTTTAATGCATAATTGTCCATGTGTATTGTTACCATCAACATACGCACATTCTCTTATTACTCTTATTAAATAATTCTTTATAGAAATTACTTTCTACAACAGGCCAATAAATAGTGGTATAAAAAAACACCCAAGGTTTCTCCAGCAAGCTCTCGTCTTTGTTTCGTTGACTGATATACCATTATGACTATCTCTGTTGTACGGTTTTTTATATTCTGTGTTAGAACTAAATTTCCTTTCGAATAGTCATGTTTTCTTGAGATTTATCCACAAGTTGAATAAAAACAATCCCACAGTTATTTGTTACATGATTTTAATATCCATGCGAATCGACCGAAAAGAGTTTGTCTCACTAAATATGGGAATAAAATACATAGATGACTTAGAATTGATTTGCAATTCAAAAGTCTTTGCTGAAATGTATTTATTTAAGGGCTTCACATGTTTCCACTAGCTATTCAATCGAAAATATCATTCATAGATCAATCTTGATCTGTATCATATGAAGTACTCTTTCGGTATTCAGTAACTATTGTACTGTGACACCTCCTTTTTGTAAAGTTATGAAGTCACAATTACCATCAAAGAAAGTCATTGATGAAGAATCACAGACAGTTCAAGAAGGGAATTTTCTTTTTCGACAATGTCATTTACTTATATTACAAACGTATTTGTTGTTAACTTTTAAAAATAGTAGTCTATAAGAAACTATGTCATTCATTGAAGCTAACAACAATTCAAATTCTTCAAGTATCGAATATAATAGTATATCTTCTCAATCTTAAACTCTGGTGTCTCTTTATACATAAATTTCTATTCTGTCTTGTCAAACCTTATTCCCAAGGTTAAGTTTTTTATCGTTGCTACTGCATTAATCCGATCTCCTTTTTTATTTCCATCTCGACCTACTGATGTAGTATAGCAACTTGTACCGACAGACATCTGTACCAAGCCCGATGATGATATCTGGTCGTAATAAGATTTAGAAAGACTGTTGCATAATTATAAGTTATCAAAAATAAAGTGGCATTGAATTCACATTATATTACACTAGACTACCATTAATAGAAGTCAACTTTGAATACAGTTGTACAGCTTGAGATAATGAAAGAAGGGGTAGAAAAAGTCGACCCTGAAAATGTAACTTCCCACTTTAACCCACAGAATTTTGTCTCCGATGTTAAGACTTTTTGAAGTGAGGAGGTAACGCATCAAAAAACCCACAATAGGGCCGGCCTCAAGCAGTTGTCCCATGGGTTCTGTGGTCACGTTCCCAGTTCGCTAAGACCACCACTAACTCAGCTTCTCTTTCAGGTTACTGAAGTAGAAACATCTTTTCACTATGTTGTCATCCGGGAAGTGTCAACTACCCCCATGCTCTTTTCAGCACCTGAAATCATCTTGTTCAAGATCAAACCTTTACCTCACCTCTGAATAATTCTTCCATCCTCACGACTAAGCCTCATCATTTATCTTTACCTTTACGCGCTACCAATGCTGATGTTTCGAGTTCACAAAGTGATATTCCTGGTCTCCTGAAACTACGCTTTTAATGTTCGCACCTTTTGTCAGACGGGATTACAGGCTTCTTTAGTTAGGACTCAAGAATCTCGCGTTGTCGATGTATGCTACGTCTCTGAAACGCATGTACAGAATCTAAGTACGGTCATTCATTTGACTTCACCATGTCAGTATAAAGAACCCGCACGCTTTACTCTTCGTGTATCTGAATACCCTACTGCTACTTCACGCGGCATCGCTGGTATAGATATAGAACTAAGTTCAAAAGCAGAACAGACTCTCCTAGACTAGATTCCAATAGACAGTTACTTATGTGTTTAACTAAACAAGACAGTAAGATCTCGGAAAAATGGGGATATACGACGTTGCCTGTTCGTTTTCTCTGCCTACACTACCGCTGATTGCAGCTCGGACAAAGTTAAAGATAAATTTTATGGGAAGTTACCAAGCCTCCTTCAAAAAGTTAAACGCTCTGATGTAGTGTTAGTGACAGGTGGTTTTAAAACTCTAGTACGTAAACCAAACCGAATGGCAATTAGGCTGATCTTACTGTGTTGCGGCTCAGCGAACAGAAAATGTTGGCCGTCTGTTGCGACAGTGAACAGCCGTTCGGACCTATCAAGGAAACTGTTATTTATTGTTTCCGCCTTCAGATTTTTTATCTTCCTCATATCCCGTAAGTAGATAATTACTTCTCAAGCATTTGTTTTTCATCTTACGCAACCTTATTTTGATTCTCGAAGTGATCTACTATTTATATTTTCGACCAATTTCAAGGGGTAAATAAGCTGCGTAAACCAAAGGACTATCACTTAGACGTACGAGATAACATGACTAGTACGGATGATAATTTATTGCAGAATTCGAAATTTTTCATTATTTGTTGAAAATAAACAACTTCATTAGACGTTTGGAAAACCACCATTTCTATTGGTTTTAGAATAAAGGGACGATCTTAAGTCGAACATATTTCACACGATAAAAAATGTTATTCTATTTCTTAAAGTTCACCTTTATTAACATACGCATTTTTTCACTTGTCTTTTTGCTCACGCCCTTATCTGTATGAACCATTACTTCGCTATTGGAAAAGTAAAGTTGATAGTGAGTTACACTAATATTAAAAATGAATTATATCAAGCTCCATATCAACAGCTCGCATAGTCAGAAGTGCCATTTGCTGACGGGTAGCTCATCGCAATGTTACCAAAAAGTGATTTCAATTTAGCGGTCTATGGAATTTTCAAGCAAAAGAATGACCGTTTTACACGAAATATGAAATTATTGAATATTACTCCTGAACATAGGTATAATTTGTCTCGTTATCTCTCTATAGTATGCACAAATAACTTGTATTTATCTGCAAAAATCTACCATATCCTCACAGAAATTTGACTTAGGGTTAGATGATTAAGTCTCTCTAGTTTTTGACTGGAAAGAACTGTCCGCACAGGTTAATCTAAAAAGAGATTGATATAGAGTAACTTATTGCTGTTGTAAGCTATAATTAGATACCAAGTGCCTACGTGAAAATGCATACCTGGAGAAATTCATCCATAAATAGGCAAACACTAACCGTCAAGTAAAGTATGATCGAGTGGAAAAGAAAACATGCTTCTTATACCTACGTTTCAAAGGAGATGAAATCCATGGAACAATTAATCACAGACTTGATTCTGCGTTGAAGGTGACCTACCCAGCAGCTAAACTGACAACGGTGTGGGAAACTAACTGCTCACTCAAACAAGCTAAAATCGACAAGTCCTCTTTTCTCAGTAGCTCCAACTGCATTTACCAATTTACATGTATGTGCCAAAGCACATACATTGGAATAACCGAGAGAAGAGTACATGTTCGTATTTCTGAGCATGTTCGTAAGAAACTGAGACTGGGAATGACCAGGGCTCTCAACAGTGCAATAGCTCGGCATTTACTCGACACCGGGCACACCGCTGACATTTCTCATGCTTTCAAAATCATTAGCAAACAAATAATTACAATTGCTCTCCGGTTTGCTGAAGCGATCGAGATAAAAAAAACTCAAACCGGATCTGTGTACTCAAAAAGAGACAGTGATAAACTTATTACTACCCTGGTAATCCATTTCTTGTTTTAATTTTTTGGATATTAGTTTTATTTTGGTTAATATTTAGTTTTTATTATATTCCTCTTCCATTGCCCAATTCTTAAACCACCCTTTCTCTCACACATTTCCGCTGACTTGTTTCTCTTAAATTATATGAACTCTCCAAATTCTATTCAATTATTACATAACCCATCCTATTTGTTTTTAATTCCACGACTCCTTTATTACCTCTAAAAATATCACACATTTGATCCTATCTGTCTTTGAACTCCATTCAACTATTACGCCACCCACCCTTTATGCTTCCTTCATTCTAATACCTAATAACCTCTGACCTTTTCTTGAACATATATATTTATGTAGTTATCATTGATGACCTTTTGCCATTGCAATCCTCTACATTCACTTATGTCAATTGTTCCACACTATATATTATCTCAATGCTAAAACTCTCATCCATATTTGGTTGTAAGAAGTTGATGAGAAATCACGAAATATAATGAATTCGTATTATTCTGTATCAATATTTGTTTTGGCTTTATTGTATAGCTTTAGATTACCTACCGTAAACCATAAGTATTCCAAATTTTTCATTATCCAACTACAACTTTAAATTTCGTGGCTATGAATTTGTAAGGAGAGATTTCTTGAAGACTAATAGTAAATTTAACTAACTAATTATTTCTAATCATTCAAACAAATAACTTACTCGTAGTTTTTAAATAAGTTATCCAAATGATGAAAATTCACAAATGAATTAATGGCCATTTCTTTTCAGCAAGCTAATTCAACTAACTAATTATAAACCTGAATCGATAGCTACATTTTCTCGTTATTACTATCAATAAAACATTAAAAATCTTGACAGATATTAAACGAAAAGAAGAAAATAGACAATTTGGTTTATTGGATAGAGATAACTGTCAACTTCTTAAAATCTTATTCTTGATATTTCTCCATTAATCTAAGTAACGATGAGTAAATTAGGTCTACAGCATTTGTACTCCAGAAGTAGCCTAAATGATTATAATTTTCAATATAGTTCACAGAGATGATAGTTTTGTTAATTCTTTGTTTAAGTAAATCAATGCTTTCATTTGTACATAAATGATCATTTCCTCCATGATAAATGACTGTTGGGATGTTAAAGTTTTTCAGAGTGTATGAAGGAGGATCGTCTTGACCATAAATATGTCTATTCATATACTGTCCGTAGTCAAATTTCTGTAGCAGATGACTGTCAATCATCTATAAAAATGTCCGAAAATTTTTTTTTCACTGTTTAATAAATTAGTTCATGGTAATTAAGGGACTATTTACTAAAACAATAAAGAATTATCGCTTCACTATGCACCACAATATAAATAAGATACACTTGAAAGGTTAATATGATCCAATAGATTTTCTAACGCTGATGTAATAAGGTATTTCTGATGAATGCCTGAGTTTAACTATCACTAACGCGTCTATCTGAACTTGGTTCTATATGTTTATTTATGCTTAAATATTCTGGTAAACATAACATCCATTGAGTTAAACAATCAAATACATAGAGGACTTACTTACTTCGTACAAAAAATTAAATGAGAGGCATAAATTATATGCAAAATTGTTAAGATGAGTCATAACACATCGACCTTTACAAATCATTTACTGACTTACAATTTACTGAAATGAATTCATTCGAGAAACATGAGAGTATTTATAAAACAAAATTAATTAATGAGAGTACTTTAGTTTGTAGTTACGAGTGGCAGAGGTTCCAAATGAAGACTAGTTATGATCTCGAACATGAAGTTTGAAGAAACAAAGTAATGTAGTTTTTGTAAGAATCTCTTTTTTATAATTCCAGTTAAGTTGATCTGATCTGACTATCTTTCACCTCTAGTTGTACCATTCGAAGTCGCAAAATTTTCTCTATCTATTACATCGCTTAATATACGTTACAAAAAATGTTTTGTGCTTCTTCCATAGATATTTTATTTGTCTCTGTCATAAAACATGAAACGTTTACAAAAAAATTTTCATCTTATAAATAGCTACTGATAATCAAACAAAATGTTTCACGGTCTTTCTACTAATGGTTTGTACTCCGTTCACGTCCAAGAAAACACGCGTTATGTGACATAATCACTTTAGTATTGTGTGAAATGAATAAATTTTGGGAGCGGTGAAAGACTCACTATTCACACCAGATGTGATCAACATATCATAACGCTTCATTATGATATTAAATGCTTGAGAAAATCTAGGTCTTTATGACATAAAAAAACCACTTCCCTAAAAGATGTAAAACCAGCTGAGATATGATTTAATTCTACCGAGTATATGATGATAAAAGAACAACAACAACAACCCATACTCATAAATAAAATTCGAAATAATATAATAATAAAAACTCAAAAAGCATTTCAAACTGGGGTTGTAGTGATCAGATAAATTTGCAAAAATCTTATGTATTTTGGTCACCGTATAATACAAGCAGAATGACCTGACTTGTGTCCAATCCAATAAGAGCTACTCACATATAAGTGAGCAACAAAATAGCGCAAATAAAAGATAACCGGTTATACGTTTTAAAATGATTTACTCGCGTAAACTCCCAAGTGGTAGTAGGTATTATTGTATTTAACTAAATTACGACTAACTAATGGAATGTGTGATTAGGTATCAGATAAATTAATATCTGATTGTTTTAAAATGACTTATTTGGGTAGAGTTCGGATAGTACCCAATGTATTTAAACGCAATGAATTAAAACGAAATTAGAGTACTTGAAAAGAGACAAGGATGATGATTTTCTGTATAGGGAATATTTATAACTTCAGAAAAGAGAAAGTGATTAATAAGAAGGTATGGGGATTTACGGAATGCTGAACAGCGAAATGTAACTTGCGTCGTCGTACGATGTATGAAATTATCACAAAGGCAGTCAACGGAATCCAATCACGTTCCAGATAAATCTTAGCTATTTGCAAAGTGTTTGATCAGAATAATAAATGATCAGATATTTACGTTGACAAACACAACGGATCATATCTTACCTACGGCATCTACCGGTTTGTCAAATGCAGTATCACCTAAACCTCTAGCTGTGACTCTAATGAAGCAGACATTTCGGCGCAAAAAATATGAATATCAGGCCTTTTTGTCGAATCCGAATTCAATAGACCCACCAATTCTACTCTCTGAATACAAGACTGTGAGAGGCAAGAATCCCCCTCTACATGATAGTAGGCCAGGTGAAAAATTTCCATATTATCTATAATTCAGAATCTGAAATTATTGAAGCAGTGTACCTCATACGAAATCCGATGAAAAATTCAAAATCTCTCAATCTTTGTGCACTTGGACATACAAAGTTCAAGTTTCAAAATTCAGTACAACTATTTCATTGACTTTGATTCTGATGAAAAACAAACAGGAAAATTCGTATATGGAAAACCTTAACAAATTGAACAAACTTCGTCCGTCATTTAACTCACCAAATATCATGATTGATTAAGAACCTTTGACTTTACCAGAATCTCGAGGAATATATTCAGACGTACTGTAAAGAGGATGCTTTTTGCATCTAAATCAATCTGTAAGTCCCAACTCTATTTGACTGTCTATCATAGTCACCATTCTACATAGAGAATGGAAACGAACTAAAAGTACTCACCACCTACGTTCGAGGAAATTACACTAGTCTGACTTTCATAATTGTACAATGGGACGTCAGCAGGTCCGTTATGAAAGATCTTCCTAAATCAAACGACATAATAGTAACCCTCATATGAGGATATTGAAATTCTTTTTGGTCTACAAATGAAACAGAGTTTAAGTGAATACAGAATTGGATAATTCGTTACAGGAATCCAACCTCAGCATAGAAAAGAAGTCCAAGCAGGCAGCAGTATTCACTAAACTGTTTGCAGAATATTTTCGGAACAGGTCGTTTGTGGACTACTTACAATGAATAGTAGACAGTTTGAATTTGCACATTTAAACTTATTAAACTGCGTAATAAGAATTTACAATGGTCAATAGCATTTATATCTACATCACACTATTAAATCTCCATTTCCATGTCCGCCTGTGACTCATAATATTTAGTTTATCAGTTGGTGTATTAATGGCATCAATTTTATTACTTCATCAAATCGGCCCTCTGATACTCACCTTTATTAATTTGTGCTTTTGAGAACGCAACCTTATTTAATGATTACCCTAGCATATAACTATAACAAAGGAATTGGGGTTTAATCTTTAAGGTCGATTTGGATGCCATCAGAACTGAAAACATCCTAAAAGAAAAGTCTCTTTACAGAGGGACTTGTGAGGAACGGGGTCAAGCGTAAGATTCAGTTAACAAGCTAATTTTAGTGCTTGTAACACTACTATTTCTGTAATATTTATTCATGGATTTCCCTTAATAGCTTATTGATTGATCAACTGTAAGTCGATTAAAAATGATCTAAGTTTGAGCCATTAATCAATGTAAAGTTTTTCTAGTTAAAAATAAAAGTATAATAATGATATGCGAATTTATTTTATCGAGAAACAAGTCGTTATCTTCCCATCTGTGTTACATTTTATACATCCATGTATGGTCTTTTGAAATAAAAGAGTTACATCGCAAATAAACAGGGGAGATTCGATCGTGAGGATTGTTGTTATTGTAGATAGTTTCAGTGAAAAAGTAACAGGTTCCTTTTAATTATCGACCCCCAACACAGCCACACTGGTACTCGCACTACGTGCTGTAGGTATAGTCAAAATTGTTGCTAACGATTTGTTTAATCATGATAACAACTCCTACTGATCGAATTTATTCAGTCTAAAATTAGGATACCTGTTACCGGAATTGACCACCCCACATAACATCTGTTTCTTCTAAGTGTACTGTAGGATTTATCCTTTTTTAAGAATGTTTAACTTACTTGGCTAAAATGGACTAGATTTTTAATCGACGTTCCTGCTGGGGAGTGGGCGATAGTAAGTGGAAGACGTGTCTAAATTAAAAGTAACATAAAATCGTCATTGCAAAATAAACAGCAACTAGAAAAAGGTTTACAAATAAACACCGTTATTAAACAAACTATGGTTTTAATTGTTGTTCAAAGATGACTTGACTTACACACTTGTTTCGATACTTCAAGTACCATTCATGTGAAAATGTCCTCAAAGTTCTGAGAACTAATCACACTGGATATTTCAAGTACTATACACATCTTGGAACCATTTTGAGCTGTTCATGATGTCAGTATATTTAGAAGAACTATAATGTTTACCGATCGTGGAATAATTGATGTTTCGTTTTCAAATGTATTAATGCATTTCTAGTAAGATAAAGTCATTTCATTTTCAAGTACGAAAACAACTAATGAATAAGATTAGATAGTCGAACACCTTTTACTATCAACTCATTAAACAGGTTACATGATTTCCCATCGTTTTCTTAGTTATTTCATCATTTAAATATTATGGTTATATAAAAGACAACAAAAATCAAGTGGCAGATCATCTAAGGTATTTAGCATTGCATAGTTTCATATTCCATCAATTTCGGCTGTTAATTTATTTCTATACATTTTAGGATTGAGCATAAATACCGATCTGTTTACTTCAACAATGTTTATAGCTCACATATGATTATTTACTATCCATTTCAGCCGAAATCTTCCAGCTGAAGAGGAAATTAGAAAAAAGATTTTGGAAGTGAATCGGACATACATTAAGGAAATCACCAAACTGCATCACGAGGCAAGCCCTAACTTGGATTCCGAAAGGGAAGAGGAAGGCCAAAGAACACATTACGCCGGGAAATGAAAGCAGATATGAATAGGATGTATAACAATTGGAGAGAACTGGAAAGGATTTCGCAGGACAGGGTTGGGTGGAGAATGCTGATGGGCGGTTTATGCTTCTCCATAAGGGGTACAGGCGTAGGTAAGTAAGTAATTTCAGTCAAAATCTATTCTGATACTGATACTATTGCATAAAGAAATAATTTATCTACTATCAACAATTTTAAACTACACGTTTTTAAAGTTAGTCCTACATGAAAACTACCGTTCTAACTAATTGTTACAAGGATTAGATAGATAAATTAATGGAATTTTTTAACAATGATGAATTATTTTAAATCACAAATGTTTTCACATTCTCACCAAATTAGTATTGAATCCATCGTTTCCAGCAATGCTGTCAATAACTGACATGCACAAATTCGGGTAAAACCCGCAAACATACTTCCCCAAAATCTTCATGTAATGATCCGACGGCAGAACTTCACCACGTGTTAAATATCCTAGGACAAACTGAGCAGTTACATAATGATGAACTAGTGGGAGGAAAATGCCCTTAACATTTGCGAAATAGCCAACTGGACCAAAGGCTATAAATAAATTAATATTTGACTGTAATTCCGGGTTATCATCTAATGCCGTCATGGCGATAAGTGATCCCTTATACAGAAAAAATAAAACAAAACTACAAATCAGGAATGTAGTAAATAAAAAATTTCATATGAATATGTATAGGAACGATGGTTATCAAATTAGGAACCTAAAATGTAAAATTGTCTATTTAAATTCGATACAAATTGTTGTAACTAAGTTTTGATCTCTTTTTTAACGCAATAAATGTGCATTATATTCTACGGGTTGTAACTGACGTAGTTAAGATCTGAAACGACAAAAATTGAGCATATATTTGAATTGTAATGCAGATGCTGGACTTAGTGGAAAAACATTTAAGATTACTTTTGATCATAGGCAATCTCTTTACTCTCTGAAAGCAGTTGTGAAATATTCACCTTATTCGATTAATGAAAAGGATATGTGATTCTTACTATAGTTAACACTAAACGGTATCCAATATTTTGTAGCATTTATCTAGTTACTAGTTCAGACGACTTTTACCTTACCCTTAAAAATATTCCACCGAATTCTCCAAAAATACAGATCTGCCTGAAATTTCTACTATAGATTTGACTAAATTAATTTAAAGAATCGTTCAAGCAAAACAGAGTGTGCGAAATTCCATGGTTTGATTTGTTTGACCAGTGTTTAGACAGTTGACATAAATATGCTGTCAGTATTTTAAATCATATGCGTTACAATGATTTGCACAACTATCGTCTTTGATAAATACTAAATAAAATCTGAAAATCCTAGCCAAAATCCGAAACAATTCAAATTCTCGGTGTACAGATAGGCTTTTTCGACAGATCATGAATAAATACTGTTTTTTCCCATAGTAGAGAATCGTATATTACTTAGGGAGTAACACAGAAACAACTCGAGCGTGATTGCAATATTCCCTAAAATGAGGTAGTAACTTACTGTAAACTTATTCCAGTCCATTTTAACTTTAAATGCTTTGTAATGTTGAAGATAGTTTTTTAAATAAGGCATTTTTTTAACAATATTAGTATAGGAACCAAATATGAAGATATCGAAATAAAACTTACGATGACCGGGTGGTTATAACTTATATTTTAGTCATTAATCCATATAAGTGTAGTCCCTAATTGGACATATTATATATAAGTGGATCTTTAGAACAAATATTTGGAATTTCAACTTGACTTCTAGTACAAGCTATCCGTCATGGCAGTTTTAATGTCGGGTATAACTCCAAACTCTGCTATTTTAAATCTAAATGTTCCGTTTGCATGGCATAGTTTTTCTGTGTTATGAGATGTAATGGAGCGTATGGTATTGAATAAACCGAGTATTATTATACTTTTTTTATGAATTACCATAAACTTATGAGATTTTTAAAAAGTTTATCTGAAAACTAAGTACGTTTATAAACGATTCATTTGATAACCTCAGTGAGTTAAGATAACTTACTGAGAGACAATGAAAGGGAATAGCGGTAGGATACTATTTAACGTTCAAATAAACAAAAGTAAGTGGTTTACCAAGTGTTTTTCCCTCATTTTTCATGTTTCTTCACAGAAAAATTGTCATTTAATAAATTGAAGGTGTCAAAGAACAAGAGAACCATCAGCTCTTTACGACAATAAAAAAAAACAGTTTTCAATTACTGAATATAAAAAGTGTCTGCCTCAGTACACGAAGAACTATAGTGATGCATTTACTAGCGTTATCTTACTCAATGCACTAGAGACTACAATACACTTCTTCGCATGTATTCCTCAGTTCCGATAGCCAAATACTAAGAACAAGTGAGAATGCAATTAAATAAGACCAAATACGTGGGATGTTTGTAGATTATATTTTAAGCAAGTACAGTAAGCAGTCCAACTTGAATCAACAGCTACAGAATCCACCAGGTAAGGAAGTACATGAACAATACTTGATCATTTCCGATTCGTACAAACAATGTTGAAAATACAGAGTAGTTACAAATTTATGATACGTTCAATAAAACATACAACAGTACTACTAAAGACTACTGAGAATTCCCCCTAATTAAAAAACTGCCTTATTTTGTAATCGACTAAGTAAATTATTGTAATTTAAAATACCGAAGCTAATCATAAAAAAATACTAGAAATACAATCCCAAATACTGCAAACGTATATGGGACGTAAAAACCTTAACAAATGAAAAACAATTTGTTCTCCTTAGTATTGGTCCATGATCGTTCTATCTGTAGTTTCATTTCTTCATAGTTACATAATACTGAGAAATCGGCATAATTGTTGTGATGGATTAAACATTCAAATTGTTGAGATGTGTGGGAATTTCCATATTCCGGAAGCTTAACAGCTTAACAAGTACTATATCTGTTCAATGCTTTACTACAGTGAAATATTAGATATTGTTGTAAAACAAATAAAGATAATTGAGGGATGCTTTGACTAACATGAATAACCGAAAAATCAACCACTGAAAATGTACGTTAATTTTTTTTATATGATTTGGAACTTTTTCTTATGCAGACATACTTGAGTGTTTTCTCATATCAAACATAATAACAAAACAAATCCACGTTACTGCGACTGGAAGTTTTTATAACTAGTTGCAGATATTCTTTTAAATTAAGAGACATTTTATTCACTCTAGCAGTTGTCTTTATTGAGGCACTACTCGAAAATAGTATAATATATATTATCTGGTTATTCTAAGCACAATCGGTAATGGTTTACATTTACACAGTGAACTTTAAGCTGAAAATCTAAAAAAGAGAACTTAAATTTATGTGTTGCCGTGAGTAAATGTTAAGTTTATGCATCTGGTGTAAAAAATGATGCCTAATATTTGAAAAAACTTTGAGTTTGCTAAGTAGATATTAAATCACCAAAGGTGTGCCATGTACTTACCTGAGAAAATCCAATATAGCTTAGTTGTTTCATCCTGGTAACAGATATAATATGTCTGATTGTAGCCGGAAAATCATAACTTGACATTTCTTGCCATGAAAAATCCCAATATTCTTTTTGACTTGAATCAAGATGCTTATGTTTTTTTGAATATGTATTGCCTCTGCTGTTCGCTAGCCACACGTCATACCCATAATCAGCCAAGATATATCCTAAACTCTGATTTTTCAAATTCATAACCCATGCATGTGACGAGTCCAACAATCCATGTTGCAATAAAACAACTTTACGCTCTACAATTGCAAAAAATAATGATGTTCCTGATCTTGGAAGTGAAACACCATTAAAGATTTAAATTCAGCTCTCAACACTTACTTTGATAAACTGACTGGTTTGTGTAAAGTCTAATTAAACACAGAATGTATTGATCACTGGTAGTAATTTCATGTTCTTCAACTAGATATCCTTGTCTCCGTATTATTTCACTCTTTACAAGCAAATTGTAAGTTACCCCTCAAAGTAACTACTTACAATATTCATATATATCTCCGGATCACTTTCAATTCCGAATGTAGAACCAACTAGATTTAAATGAAAACAAAAATATCCTATCCATCGTATTAGGAATACAAAAATCATAATATTTGTAGGTGAATGCCTAGAAAAAGATTGGTAAATGCCTTAAAATATATTTTACTTATATTTTCTTAAAAACAGCTAATGTGTATGTGTTTGTATAGATGACACTTAAACAAGACAAAATGAGGCCAGATTTGTTAACTTTGTACTTAACTCAAAAAGTAATATTTACATAAAATTATATTCATTTTGAAATAACCTTTATTTTATGCGCGTATTGTGGTCTGACCAAAGTAATAAAAAAATTTACTTGGTACATCTACAATTCGTAGATAATTTTGTTTGTCAACCTCTGTTTCTACGACTGGTTGTTTGATTTTTTTATGGACATTAATTACGAATTATGTTAATTAGTTAGGCAATTATTGACGATAAGACAACGTAATAGAAATAATGACTATGGCTATAAATATAGCTGGTACCTATATTAAATATTGCTCTGGTTGTTAGAAGGGGCATCGGCCTGATGACTTCCGAAGAATCTCGGCTGTCATCATGAGACGTCATAATTCTTCCTTCAACTCAGAGGATAGAGTTTAAATGGTTCAATTTGTTTATTCTGGCCAGCGTGGAATATGTGCATAAATTGCTCCAAGCCTTTCCAATGATTTGTCACAACAAACACAGAGGCATCTCATACATTCTCAGTAGCTAGATTTTATAGTAATTTTTTAATGAGATGGAGAAGGTCTCAAAAGATTGGAGCGGAACTAACCTAAAAAATTTTCCCCAATCGCCCTTGACATTTTAATCACATTCGAAGGAGTGACTATATGATAATATGTACAATAATTTAGATATGTTGGTAATGGCACTATGGTCTTACAATATTGTAGATTGTATCTTGTATATAAGTTACTGAATAACTTATGTCAAGTACTACTCAGTTTAATTTATTCAAATCTGACTATTGGTCTCTGTGAGTAAAACGTAGAACTCAGTGTACTTAGATATCGTTTCGGTTTATTTTTGACGTTTAATAAATCCTCATTTTTTGTATTTGCACTGTCATTTAATTCATGAAAATCAAGGCTTTCAATATCAGATACCAGTATTCCATAGGTTATATAACTTTATTAATGCAGTGAAATATAATACACAAGATATTTTTTCTAAATTTAAGGTAACTAATAGTCATTTATCGATCTGTAAAAAACATGGCAACTTTTATTTTAATGGCGTTGCCTGGCAACAAAGAAAACCAATCAAGCCTCAATCAATAAAAATAAACATTAAACACCTTGTAATCATCCAAGATCTCATTGTCCGCTACACTAAATTGTCAATATAGTGCGTAAATTCAAGTAGATGTAAAAAAAAAAATAAGTATACAGAAGTGAAAATATGACAGATCCACATGTATGCGATGTTTTTATTAAAGTATTTTCAACATAGGTGAAACTGAGTGGATTAAAATAATCTGATAAAGTCCTATTCATTTAACAAGATTCGTTGCCGTAGAATTCAATTTTGTCTTAAATGTGTTTCAAATGAACTTTAAATAGTCGAAACGTATGTGAAAAGAATTTAAATCAGAAGATTCGTCTAGAGAATTTCAGCCCAAATTAGTAAATGCTGATTTAATACCATTAAAAAGCAATGAACATAACTGAAAATATTTTAAATATAAATCAGATTAATAGCCTTAAATGAGTCACAATCCATTAATTTTCAAAACTAGGCAGAGGGTTCTCGAAACATTGTCTGACTTCAAAAACAGCCATATAAGGGATTCAACCACAAGATTACTCTTGTCAGTCTTACTATTAAGGAACTCAACTTCCATTCATATCGCTTTCGTAATAAAGTGGTCCAACCTACAACGTTCTAATATTATGAATTCACTACCCATTCAGAATTTAACATGTTAAATTTCAGAATAACAGGAATCCTGCTGTTTGCTATTGACGTCTACTTGTGAATAACAGCCACATGCTAACTTCTGGGCACTGTCGCCGAATGGTTTCATTACTAAACATCAATGCAATCCGTGTACTTACTGGGTCTCATTTTTGATGACCCTTGGTTCAGACTTCTGTGGTGGTTGTGTGAACTGGGATAGTTAACTTCAAATTTGTATTATTAAGTCTAATCATATATTAACTTGTTGCGTACTCTTTTTGGGGGAACGCAGTGTACTGCTGGGTCCTTTGTTCGACGCTTTAATGACCTAAATAAATATAGGACTTAACCCGCTAATTGTTCAAGTTACATGCACATTACCAACACAGAAACCATTTTAGTCGTCTATGTATTTCGGTAACTGACAACAAGTATACAAATGTCTATGTATGCACTCAAGTTCGCATATTTGCTGTCGTACGCTAAGTCGAATATATACTTCTGTCCATAATTGATAGTTATGGTCACTACTACACTCCAAAGACCTTAAACCAAATTTATCCTAAGCAGATGAGGTGGAACTATTTCCACCTATATCCTGGTTACAATCTGGGACAGCAGCCAAGACACACAAGTATGTTGACTTATACTGATTGATTCCACTGCTTTGAACTATATGCATACATTTGTCTAGGAGTGATTATGATTTCCGAACTGTTAATTTAAGTTCTTCTATGCGGTAACTGGAATCATATTGGCTTAAGTAGATGTTGTAATGAGACAAAAAATAACCGTGACTTTTATCTTTGATTAATGAAATTGCGACGAGACAACTAAATTCATCAAACCGAACCCACATTTTGACGATATTATTTCCGAGGAATTCTACCAAGTTTTGACTGGTGAACATGAGCAGAAGCGAACCGAAAGTCAATTTACTCATACACTGGGAAAAAGATAGCCTCTTGGAGTTCAATCTAACCTCCTACTTTCTTTATTCCTTAGAAGGCAGGATTACCGAAGATTCAAACTCTTCTGTCTTACAGTACGATGTTATTCATGGTTATCATACTTATAACAGGTCAATAACCGTTGTGCTTCATGATGTTAGGGCTTCCTTTGATTCACTGGACAGGATTATCTATTGAAGGGTGTCTCTGAGATGTTTGATGACATTAAAGGCCCTATATACAAGTACCTCAGATAGAGTGTGGTCATGCAATAATCCCCCTCCATCGCTTCATTCCATCAGTGAGGTTAGGCAATGTTGCCTAATCTCACTATTCATATTCAACTTTGCCTGAAGTGACATTCTGAAAGCAGCTCCGATAGAAGCATCTAGTGATGGTGTGTATCGGTTACCTGAAGAAAGGCTCTTCTACCTCGAGTATGCGGACGATGTTGTCCTACTGTGCGATGATACACAAGCCACCCAATTTACACTTAGTCAGTCAATTATCAGTGTCTGTAGGTATGGCATGTGCTTTGAACCTAAGTGCAAAGTACATCCACAAGACTGGCGGTAATCTGTAACTTCATCCACTCTTGATAAAGAACACCTACAAGTAGTTGAGAAATCCGTAAGTTTGGGCAGCTACATAAGTCCTAGCTTGAGTGGTGACGTCACTTTACGCATAGCGAAGGTTAGAACGACCTATGCTAAGCTCTATCAACTTTGGAGACTTCAAGATGTGTTAATCTAGCAGTAGAAAGCCGAATTTGCAACACGTTCCACTAAATGGTTGTGAAACCTAGCCTCTGAAATGTTAAGTAACTTAAGTTTCATTAATATCGCCTTCATAATAAAGTGCTTCTGATAAGTGGTCCAACCTACAATGTTCTAATATTATGAATTCACTACCCCTTCAGAATTTAACATGTTAAATTTCAGAATAACAGGAATCCTGCTGTTTGCTATTGACGTCTACTTGTGAATAACAGCCACATGCTGACTTCTGGTCACTGTTTTAGTTTGCTTCATGAGTTATATCTCTGAAGTCATCAACTTCTAGACGGTCATGAGTTTTAGGGTTTGCTAATCTTTGAAGTTACTGTTATTAATGGTTGGAAGCGTGTTTCTCGAGGATCAATCACGATGACGCAAGAATTTGCTATCTAATGTTTTCAGTGGCGTCATTGCCTCGGTTTCTAGACATACCGATCATCATTAAATCAACTCCAATAATACTTGTCAGTTCGAATAGCCATGATTACGTTGTGTCAATTTAGGCATCGGAGATAAGCCAAGCTTTGCTTCATGATACACATCAATCTGTACTTTTAAACCTACGGGAAGTATAAGTCAACAGGAGCACGGAGAACTGCGTTTTCAGGCGTGTAGTCGTATGGCGCCTTTAGTCGTTTCGCTACACACCTGTGCGGCAGGTTCACGTGAGACAAATTAAGAACTCTCGGAATGTAGATTTACGTCTTAAGATGCGGAGCATTTCAGTACTTAAACTCGGCCTGAAATTATTTAATTAAAACGATCGTTAACGCTTTTCTCGGACAAACGGCAGATAAGAAGCGCTGAAATTACGAGCATAGTAACGTTTATTTTATAAGGCACAAATTACAAAATTGTCACTCATTAAAAAGACGTTTATTCGTAGATCGAGCTCTGAACAACCAGCAAGCGCCGTTACGTTTGCCAAGGGAAATTCGAACCGTATGACTGCATGTAGTAAGAATCCCAGTTTGTCTACAAATTAATTATGAAAATCCTTTTGAGGAAATAAAATAGACTTCTATAATCAAAAACACCCTCGGTTTACGACAGGGAACTCTACTCTTAGAATGCAAGTTATGTCACTGATTACCACTGGCTTGGCACCGTATCTTAGTATTCAAGAGATTGAAGTTTCTGTAACTGTCGTGTCTTGATTGATATTATTAATGCACTCCAATCTAACAAGATAAACAGCATAGCAGAGTTACCTTTGTCAAAATATGGAGAACCACCACTATCAAGTTCAGGCAAGTACTATCGATACGAAACCAGTTGTTACATCACGTGCTATCTGATGGCCGAAGACATGTCACGTCATGAAAAGTACGGAGGTATAACGCGCATTCTTTTGCTACAAAAACAGCGAGGTGTGATGAATTATCTACACTGAAACATTATATTGTAAGGTCTAACTGATTAACTCATAGACTGGGAACATTCAACCAACACAGTAGTGCAACCTGAAAATGTATTTAAAAATGAAGACATAAAATGGGAATTGTCACACGGCATAAATTTGTACTTCGGAAAAAGGGGGGCAATGTTTATTGTTGAGGAATAGGAGGATGACCAGGAGCAGGAGGCATGCTAGGAGCACATTGCATTGATTGTGTGCCTGGCATAGTCTGTCCCGGAGGAGCTCCAGCACCAGGTTGACCTGGTGCGCCTGTTTGCTGTTGTTGCCACGCTTGCCAAGCTTGCCATTGTTGCCATTGCTGCCACTGAGCGTAATCGTACTGAAAACGAAAAGAATGGTGGGAGCCAAAACGGAACCCGTCAGAATGAATCACAAATAAATTACTTAACACAATGAAACTATTCATAAAATTTGCTGACTGTTTTTAGATACACAGATTACGTGTTCATCTAAACCATCTATCTGGGAAAATTTGAAAATAACCTCACCTGTCCAGTAGCCGTTGGTTGTGCTTGAACAGGAACTTGAGAGGGTGCAGCTGCCGGTGTACCAGATTGCGCAGCTTGCACATGACCTGTAGGCACTGGGGCCGTCTGTTGAACGGCAGCCACTGAGGGTTGTTGAGCCTGTCTTAGAATGGCATCGGCGCATTCATGCATACCCTGACGTCTGTAGTATTCAGCCCAAGCTGCACTGTAATCAGGTTGACCGGTGTATGGGTTATATGTAGGAGCCGGCATGGCGGCGGCCGCAACGGCATTTTGGGCACAGTTGGCCATGGTCCATGGATCTGGAAAAAATACACAGAAAGTTACAAAACACATTAGTATCGATTACAACCAGTTTGCGTGAAAGACCGTCCCGGTACCAGTCTATCTTATGTTAGACTACAATTATCGAGTCACCCTTCAACCCAACATTGTGGAGTTTTTGAACCCAATATTACATCCCATAATGTAACCAAAGTCAACAGTGGTGTCAATCACTAGCAGTCTTTAAATGCTATTTCTCAAACAAATAAAAAAATCGAGTACAACGTTAAGATGGTAATCGTCATTAAGGCTTACAGCTGGTGTTGTTCGAAAGTTTCAAGCCGCCGATATCAGTTTGAGCCAGTCACTCTCAATGCCCAATAATCGTTTGTCGCTGCTTGGTTGAATGCAGCTAGCCCTGACTGCGACACAGCTTCTAAAGCTGTCAGTCAGTCAACAAAAAACATTAAGCTTACCTGCATGTGGGTAGCCGTATTGACCCCAAGGCCCAGGAACAGCACCGGTGGTAGTAGCTGGTCGAGTCATGGGAATACCAGCACGCTCAGAGATCATTCTTTAAACACCATCCGACATCCAGAGAAATGAGAACCAGGGATTAGTGAATATACGAATGGCACGAATAGGCATATACCGAAATGATAAAGACAGTAACAAATAGAAAAATATTGCTTTGATAATCGGAGTAAGCACATACACATTTATTAATTACACAAAAGGCTTACATGGAGGTGATATTATCACAAACAAAGAACATTACCTTATGGCTTGTTCTATCTCTTGTCTGTTACCACGGACATTAAATATTTTGATAGAGGGGTCCGGTGGTGGCTCCTTTGATATTTCGACATGGGCTCCACTGACTCGACAAATTTCTTTAATGGACTCGCCACCTTTGCCAATTACAAGTCCTGCCTTTTCAGCCGGAACGGCATATTGAGATGTTTCTTGGCCGTCGTATCCATAGTGCATTGACCCTCCAGGACGCTACAAGGGATATTATTAACGAAGCGACCTTACATCTCTGGAATTTATGAGAACAAGAACAGCTTGTCGAGCTTTTTCCACTCGTGCCGGCTCGCCGGATATTCTCAGCGGTTTGTCTTCAGGAGTCGGGTTGTTTGATTGTTGGATAAGCACCATTTTGACGCCATTTTCTTCTTGCAGATTTTTGATAGTTTCACCGTTCTTGCCAATCACTAAACCAGCCTTTAAACCAGGAACCATCATCTCAATGGTTGTTATGCTTCCAGTTGAATTGTAGGCAGGGGTAGTTGGTGTGCCGTTTTTCCCGGCACGCTCAATTATGTCACCAATCATTTGTTTCGCATGACTGAAAATATAGTTGTACTAACTGAACTTACTCAATTTGCTGCGGAGTTCCAGTTAGGGTAACAGTACGCTCGGGAGTACCAGCTAAAATGTTAAACACGGAAGAGATGCATTACCTTGGGAAATTTGAACCTTGCATTGTGTATCATTTTGAAGTTGTGTTATTTGCTCCCCACCTTTCCCTATAACTGCACAATAGGATAACTACTAATTATGAAAACTGACCTAGGCCAACATATCTATCAGGGATAGCAGTCTCAGTAGTAACAACCCTGGAACCAACAGAGTTATTGTTTGAAGTTGGTGGTAGAGTTGAGGTCGGTTGTGTACCACCCAACTTCTGATTAATCCGAGCAGCAGCTTCTGCAGCAGCAGCCACCTTATCCATTACTAAAGGGCGTTTTTCAGTTGTAGCAAAATTGTTATTTTCCTCCTGAGCAGGCCTTTTCATACCAGCTATGCCACCATTGGTTGTGGACCCGTCATCGGACATAGAAAATTTTGAAACAATCTAAGCAGGAAGTGAATGAATACAGGACCGAATGCAAACCACCTGCTTTGCTCGCTCGATGGCGCTGGCATAAGCCTCGTTACCTGCCATGGGGGATACAATATGGCCGTTGTTAAAGTGGCCTATTAAAAGAAATCAAAAAAGTCTGAAAAATTTCCTTTTTTGTAGATTTTTCTAATGATTTTAATTTAAAATTATTACAAGTCTCTTAATCATACTTGGCACAATTGTTGGATTTTTGACACATCCAAGTCATCTAAACTGAGGGTAGACTGTGGGAATGATAATAAGAACAACTTGACTTATTATATTTGTATGCGTCTTTAATCATCTGTTGTCAAGATTCGTGTTCAGTTTAAAAGTTTACGAAAAGATATGAAATGAATTTAATCTTTTGCCCTTCAGAAATCGTTAAAAATCTTCAACTGCCAACCGCTAATTCAGAGCATTTGCACCCTTGAACACATTACTTGGCCTTCTTTGTTGTTCCTAAAGTGACGACCTGAAATATTTAGACCACTATTATCATAAAATAGTTCAACCATTGTGTGTTAGGCATAGCTATCTCGATGAATAATTCCATCCTCATTTGTTCTAACCGCGACCTGTACCTTTTGAAATCAAGGCAATACTAAATCATCGGCGTTAAAACCTAATCAAAAACTTTCTAGAAACCGCTAATCGAGGCTAGTGAACCTAAAACAAGGACCTACACTCCTATAGGAAAACAGAAACACCCAGCGCTTTTATTTCATTAATTAATTAGGGCCTCATTTGTGTCCACCAACTATCAGTCAGTGGAGCCAACCTAGAAGGAAAGCTATCCGCATCCGCTAAATTTCCTTTCAAAAATCAATACATCGGTTTGGTTGGACACAGATAACGATCGCATTATATGTACCTTACAAGTGACAAAATCAACTTCTTATAAGAATGTGACTTTGTAATGTATGGTTTCACTGTTGCTGTAAAGCAGAAGTACTCAAGCAGTATTTCGGATTCATGATGAGACACCCACGTCAGTTTTTTAATACTTGTGACGGGAATGTAGGGTCAATCCTTTCATAAAATCAAGGTTAATATAGACGCCGCATGCAACGACTAACTCGACAAAATCCACTTCACTTCATTACTCATAGGATAACCGAGTTGTAGAGTTAGCAGAATAGCATTAAACCCTACTCATATTATTGGTCGAGCTGTACCAGTCGTTAATCGATAAGTTTGTGGCACGCACTGCAGTGTATTCACATTACATTTTACCCAACTCTTGTTAATCTGTTATATTTGGAAAATCATTTCACTGTTAATATTCTGTATGTCCCCTAGAAACGCTTAAGAAACAGGATTATCTGCCTGATTAGTTAGGGCTAGTCAAACTACAAAGCCGTTGGATGACCTGACTTATATGTAGGGTTATGTACACTAGGTAGACACGCTAACCAATTATGATAAATTCAGAATATTTATAGAATTATGGTGTATTTCGGTAGTAGTGCTACTCTTATAAGAGACCTAATCCTAAAATCCAAGATTTGTAATAATGTGATTACCTAATCTATAACATCTTGCGTGGAAGTCACATCATTGTACACACTAACTATTCGTATCATGACAATCTGTAATATAATGTTTAGCACTTGGGAAGAACACATTCAGGCTAAAGGTAGAATAATATATTAAGTTGGGAAAGGTACGCGTTACACGAGGATTATCACGCCTACAAGATTGAGCTATGCGTGCCTATTGGTTGTTGCGGCGTTCACTACTGTTGATCTCACCATGTTAAATGTTGAATATGAATTTTCTCAATTATCCTATGTTCAGCTTCGAGGATCGTATGGTTAGGACTAATGCCACTAACCTACTCTCACATCAAAACCAACATGACGTTGGTTTGATACCGAATTGAGTGGGAATTTCGCGCACCGGGGGTTATCAGATGAATAAAAAAATCTGGATATTGATAAACTGAAAGATAAATCTAAAAGAAAGCAGCAACTATTGGTCGGGGAATACATGGAATGATTTCGAAATATCCGGTTTAATGCTTAACATGCTGAAAATGAAAGTCCAAATGAAGACTATTTGGTCGCCAAGTAAAGCGAAATTGTAGTGATGAAGAATGATGTAGTATGCAGATATTTTAACATTTCATATTAAGATTCAGAGCAATGACCGTTTGTTAACGGCTTAACTTGCAGACGGCATAAGTATTTCATGTTTAGAAACAGAAAAGCAGCCAATATTATAAATGTTGATATTAGTAATATTTTCTGTCTAAATTAGAAAGTCAATTAACTTTTATGAAGGTATGCTGTCCATATGAGTTGATTTCCAATCGCACAAACATTAGTACGCTAACTGAAAGAACGAAAGTATGATCGTGGCGAGGAATTCCAACCAGTGTTCCAGTTTGTTTGTTAAGTTTAGTACAGCTTATTTAGTTGAGGGATATTTTCTTGAACCCATTGTTGTGAAACCGTGATAAGGTTAAGTCAAAATACCAATGCACATGAATCGTTATCAAAAATAGGTACAGTACGAGAGAATAGTTATAATCATGTAAACTTTGGACAGATAGCTAACAGTAAATCGTCAAACATGTGTATATTTGAGAGACATGCTTTAGACCCAATGCTTTGATGTTCAATAAAACAACTATTTATACTCAAAAATGTAGAAGGATTTCGCACTTCAATTTTGAGTGGCGGCCATGATAATCTTCTCTGTATCGATGGAATTTTGTATTTGTCATGAGGCAGTCCTAATAAAAAAATCTATTAACACTGTGTAATGCATTGGAAGCAGTTGTGAAGCCGCTCAAGAGTGTACACCGTAACGGTCATTATTGTGCGCTGACTGCGTTCCATATACACCGGATGAAAACCAAAATTCCATACCTTATATAATTATCTAGACCCAAAGATAATAATATGAAAAGACAACTAACTATCTCTTAATGCAATCATCAAGAACGCTAGCGTGATGAAAAACACAGGGATGATGAGGTATTTGTGACTTACATCTTAAGCCACTTATATAACACAATACTAACGGTCATAGATTTTTGAGCTGCGAATGTTCAAATGGTTTTGTTTCAACTCAAAAGATATCAAATACCTAATAGGAGAAATATATCTTCCTTCCGCAATTTACACCACACACAAGAGCTAAATATTCCAGACGTTATTGCTGCTGCCTAAACCAATATATATAGTAAATAATTTCTACACCTCTCTCTAAACCTTGTAAAAAAGATATCAAACCAATGGGATTGTTCGTTAGTCAACTGGCACATGATCTAGTAAAGATAGGAAGATATCATATTAAAATACCAGCTATCAAACGAACAGCTTATATTCAAGCACGTCCACATCCAAATCCCTTTTGACAGCTGTGGTCTCACTGCAATCATATCTACGTGGTCATCATTGAGATATTATTATAGAAAGTGACACATGAACAAATCGCAGTCAGAAAAACGATCGAGGCATGAAGGATAACCTACCTCGTGCTTCGTAATAATAGGAGTGAGGAAGCCTGTAGATTGACGATTAGTGAGCAACCAGAAAGTACCGAACCATCTTCAACACATAACTTTATTAATCCATACCCTTTATGCTAAAAATCGACGTAATTGTTCCTGCGGATTGTGAAATCAATGTGAGATCTATAGGTTTTGACCTATATCTACAGTAGAGTCACTTTGTCAAACAAGACACATGATTTAATGTTCCCCATTAAAAACAGCCACTTTTTGTGTTAGAAACAAATGAGGACTTATTAGAGAGAACTAAAGAGGAGACATTTCACCTCGAAAGATCCTTGTGTTCCGCCTAGAAGATGCTTTATGACTGAGCATATAAAATGTTAGTATAGGAAGCAGAAAAAATTCAAAGACTACACGGCGCTATCGATAATATCCAAACCTTAAAACTTCTGTCATCCGCTAGATAAGTAAACAAAACTGGTGAAGGTCATAAAATCTACTAGGTGTTATACAGTGAAATAATCAATGGTGACCGACAAGTCATTCATCGGATTTCAAGTGAGTGGTTCGCGAACAATGAAATTAAATCTTATGTCCTAGATACCAACATTTGTAGCGTTATCAGTAATAGTCTCTAATGAACTAACCTTGAACGCAACGCAACCATCGTTGTCGTTAAAACTCCGACTAATGATCCAAGTTCAGGTGCTGATGACATTCCTTTATGTTGTCGCTTATTATAAACCAGAACCTAAAAACTTAATCCAGGCAACAGATCAATGAGGATCGCCTCCTTTATCTCACAAGCAATGGAAAACGAAGCAAAAGATTAGGTATATGACCACCTGCTCTTTGAAGACTTAATTTATTTCTCGTGCCATGACCTTCTTAAAACTGCGTTACGGGCTTCAAGTCCGGTGGATTTCTTTAACACGGTTACTCAAAATAGTGACCAAAGTGGTCAATAATCGTACTACACTTTAACACAAATTCATCGTTATGGCACCTCACAACTTTTCGATAAACGAACTTCAGTCAGTGAGAATCACCCACACCTTTTGGAATGGCTTGAGTCATTTCTCGCGAATCCATATTAAGCAATTAAACCAAGTTCTGTAAATCTACATACCCACTATTAACCAGTAGCGTTTTACATGGGAGAGTCTTAGGTCCATCGCTTTTTACAATATACATTAATGGTATGCTGATTCTTCTCTATGGGCATGCCGTAGTTAGATTCTAGAGAATCCTAAGTTACCTAATGATGAGAACCCCACAAATTTCCAGAATTATACAAACAATGGAAGATAAAATAAACAGAGTAGGTACATGGAGCGAAGAATATAACTCTAAATTTAAATTTGAAAAGGGGAGATTGTTATGCATTGAAAACTTGCACTCAATCAGTATTTAATAATAATGTATTGCCTGAACTTGGATATATGATGGTTCGAGGCTCAAGTAATCCGATAGCCTAAAAATTTCAGAAATTATATTTACTACAGTATCAAAATCAGGCAGATCATCAGTTTCTATCCTACAAACCGTCTGTCAAAAAGAATCTAGAATCATTCTGTACATGATTTTATAAGAACTATCCCTCAAT